TTTATTGCCACACCCCACTACTCTTAGCCGCCGAAAACAGGATCTTATGAAGATTATTTTTTTGATCAACCCGGACCTAGACAAACTTAACTAGAACGTTTAAAACGAATATATAAAATTGTGGTGGTTAACCTGAGCAAGAAAATTAACTCGTCCATCCTCAAAATGTAACCTTTTGGCTCGGCCACAATAACATGGATAGAACTAATCTAAAAGATAATCATAATAGAAGCAATGAACGAATTAAATTAAAATTTAATGTAAGTAGCATTAATTAAAACTTAATCAATGACGTAAACATTATTTAGCTGTCAAAAAAGAATAGTAACAAAAAAATAAGGAGAACCTAAAGTTACCAAAATTGACAGTTAGAAAAAATGGAAGACGAGACTGGAAGAAATCCAGGAATTGTGAAACTGTATGAAACAACCAGGCAGAAACAGATAACAAAATAAATCTATTAATAATATAACAGAATAAAAATCGATTATGACAAAGATTAAGACCATAACTGAAAAAGGTAGTGGGATATAACTTATATTCTGCGAGTATGGCTCAAGGATGACTAATGATATAAAATTTGGAATGCAGAAAACCCTTCAAAATTCGTTTCGGCACAGGACAAACTTCCTTCGCTAAAAGCCCCACAACATCAAACGGTCTTTTAATAGTTGCATAACACGGAAGTTGCTAGTTTTAGTCTTATTTCTAATAACATTAACTGTAAAAGCATAATAATTTATATTGTCCCGAAAGGTTTGTTGAATGTTACTTTTGTTCGTAGGGCCTAGAAACGTGATGCTTAATATTTTCTAATATTCCTACTTGTTATGAGGTAGAGATTTTCCATGACAAGGCGTGGAATATATTTTGCAAATTCACACTACATTCCTAAAAAAAACATGATTTCAACACATTTGAAAAAATAAAGCCTAATCGGCATCATTTTTTCTATTTGATAATTAAAATTACTGTATATGTTCTAATTTTACAAGCTATCTCATATTTAAATATTTTAACCTATCGTTTTCCATCAAAAAAAGTACTCCATCGCAAAATAATTTTTTGTTGTGTTGTTATTGACGTTATAGTCTTAAAACATGAAGCTATTTACTTGTAACAATCCCAGCTTGACCACATTACTTAAAAATGTTTGCTCATTCTTTTTTATGTCTATATTGTTGGTCTATGCATCACTGCTATCGTTTTTTGAATTTAAGTTTTCTCGTAAAATGATTAGTATTTTCTCTTTAATTATCATCATCGGTGTAGTTTACAGAAATTTTTTTTATTTGTATGTTACAATGTTGTGCCTAAGATTATTTATGCCCAATGAATATATTTTTGAACATATTTGTAGTACCCGAAATAATCGTAGCTTATGTATCTCCTTGGGTAATACATTATTAGGTTGGGATTCTGTATTTTCATGTTACTGATTTCAGTAAACTAGAAAATCTAAAATTACCAAAAATTAATAATGGTTAATTATCAACAACTATCATTTCAACTATGGCATAATGGATGATACGCAAGAAATAGGTACTCACACATTAAAATAACCTTTAAAACCTAAATCAACCTTTGCGTTGCAAATTTTCGTTTACCTCAAATTCATACTTTAGATTTCCTTGAGTTATTCATTTTGTGACGGATAACGCTGCGAATATGATATGTATGAGAAGACATAGATCAGAAGCTTAGGCTTTAATAGTTCTGTTATAACTTATGGATGCTCAGCTCACAGTCTGTCTATATGGCTTGCATATACTGATGGAAAAGTTTTAGTCTTGCCAAACAATGTGAGGTGGAACAGTATGGTGGATTGTCTGCAAATATATGTAAGTCATTGATGACATTGAATTGCAAAAGAATTGCTTCTCTATATGGTGCTGTAGAAGTGTGGAAGAAATTAGGAAGTGCATTTGAGGAAAAATTTGAATTAAGAAGAAACAAGTTTATCAGAAATGTTACAAACAGATACTTACGCCTTACCATTTAATGACCCTGTGAATAACAATTTGTGTTCAACAGTTTTGAAATTTGGAAAATTTTTTAATAACCATAGATAATTTATCATCATCATAATATTGCGGTTTTGGCTGGGACAGTTGTCTGGCTAAATTATTAAATTTTCTATAGTGGAATCAGCAATAGTATTTTCAGCCCATTTAATCAATGGGACACGATTTCATCCAGCTTCTGATTCATCCCATACTAAGCAATATGAAGTATTATTTGTTGCATCATAAATAGTCAAATTTAAAGTCCATAGCTTAAGATAATAAAAAGTGGACAGAAATTTTTGTAAATCTAGCATTATAACCTTCGTTTTACCCTTGGATTTTTTACTTTCTTCTTAATCATTTTTTTAAACTTATACATACTATCTGCTTCTTTCAAGTGATCATCATATTGTTGTTGGATAGTTGATAATTCTCTTAAACCATAAATTTTTTAATTCTTAGTAAAACGCTATCACATTTGTGACAGGTATCTGCTTCTTGACATCTGGCTAAATATAACTTGAACATTTTGTTTCTATTCAGCTCTGGGCCTAAATATTTTCTTTGGGTATTTACACGTGTGTAATGGATATTATAACACGGAAAAGAGCTTATGTGTACTCTAACTCCATAGAGAACTTCTTTACGAAGTTCATTTGGAGGCACATGTCGGCCTCTCATACCTTTTTTTAACAGTCTCTTTTTTTAAAGCATTACGCACAACTGTTTCTAAAATTCCTAAAGTATTTAAGAAAAAAGTATCTAATAGTCCGTTTTTTTTTGTTCTACTGTTATTCTTCGGCGTTTTGTAGATTTTGATTCTAAGTGTGAACAAATAAACTGCCTCTTATATCCCAATTCTTCTCAATTCTCCAGTATTCTTTAAAAATGCTTTCTAGATTTTGGAGATGCGATTCTTTACCTCATTGAAAAATGGAAATACTGCTTTTTCATAAATTCTATATAATTAACTCAAAATAAATGTGTAAATAAATGAATACAAATCGATGATCAACACTTAGCTTGCAAATAAATTTTAAGCCAACCTATCATTTAGCATACAATGTGCAGAAAATTTTGCAACATCATTTAAACTTAATTAATAACATTTTCTTGAGTTGTTGCCCGAATTTTTGAACCAAGGGTGCCAATATTTATGTCATAACATATCATAATTTACAATATATAAAAACCCGTGTAAAGCATGCAGTACAAAATTAGATTAACCTATTTAAATTCAGTAACTCCTACTTTTAGGTCTTATTTTATCGAATCAAATAAAAGTTTTATCAGCTACATAACAATCAAAATTTGGTTTGTTGATACGATATTATCATAGTTTACCGACCTTGATAATTGACATTCATTTCACCTGAGGTTAAAAGGTTATTTGCTTATCGCTAAAATTATCTATAAAAAAGAGATCTCGCAAGAAATCTTACATTTTAAAATCTTAGAAATGTTTTATTCTTACTATATATATCACCATCTGTTCCCCTTACAGTTTGAAAGTAAATACCACAAATGAATCATACTCAAGAAATGTTACATGAATTGATTCTCGTATTTTCTATTGAAATGTTTAAAATACATATCTATTTACGAATCGTAAAATAAAATCGGCATATGTATGAATGTAAAACGTAGATAACCAAACAGCGCGAAATCAATTTCGCCTCTATCGAGTTTCAAACGTTATACGATGTGTTACCACAACAGGAAGGCATTTCTACACCGTGCACGATGAACAATGAACATTACAACCTCCTCAGTACCCGAGACCATACTCCGTCCGGTAAAGTACGGTTCAATTTCACGACCTATTTTTAAAGGCACTCGTAGCAGTATGTAGCTAAATGCTCGCCGAGATCGCTCAAGTTACGACCTACGTTCTTGCATTCGGTTAGGTGGCACGCACGTGCACTGTTCTATACTATGTAGATTCGATGATAGCCAATCTTTACTGTATTATTTTATTTCAGTAAATTACTGTTTTACAACGCTTTCACCTGTTTTTGTATAATGATCTTTTTAGATTAAAATTGCAATACTTGATTCATTCTGCGTTATTAATGAAGTTATTTAGTGTTGAAAACCACTTCCTCGAATTGATTTGTTTACGTTGAGAGTATGCCAACACATTCAAATCAAGTAAATTCATAATAATTACCGTTATTTATTTTGAAATAGCCTAACCGAAATTGTTGTTATCACTGTTGCGGGGTCGGTGACCTCAAAATTCTATTTGGTTTACTCGGCCAATGGCTATATGCTTATGTGACAGATTCGCTTCTTCCCGGTTTGAAAGTGGAGCAATAAGATTCTACCACTAATTACCGTGGGACGACACCGTCGTCGTCGCAGTTATCTTCTTCGCATCGTTTCAAAGTATAAGAAGAAGCCGGACCTGCGCGTTTACCGTTGGAAGCGTTGTTCGTCCTCGTCGGCTATCGAAAGAGAAATTCTCCCCGTCGTCCTCTGCTGGTCTCTCCTCTGTTGGTGCTCTGCCCATTTGGTGGTATCGATCTGCTAAGAGGCGTCGTCATGTCATACGACTGGAATGAAATGAACTAACTTGTGCTTCGTTTTCGTGTTTGAGAATATCAGAACAAATTTAGAGGATACCAATTTATATAATTATTGTTTTGTAGTATTATTGTTATGAAAATTTAAAGATCTTTTAGTATGCCTAATTAATTAGTACAGATTGATAGTCATATTTAATTGTAAGTCGGATTAAACTTGAATGCGTTCTGAATTTATTCATGCTGGTGGTATCGCAAATAAAAAGAAATAAACGAAATAGCTGGTTCCTTTGTTTGGTGCTGCTGGTAGAGCCGCTACGACCCGTTCTAACTCAACTCGTCTGTCTCTGTAGATATCGATTTTCCGAGTAGGTACGCGTCGACCGCGCCGCGACGCTGTTTCTCGAATTCGACGAGACCTAGTGCATCGAAAATTTTCTTATCCACCTTTCTCTATTTGTTTTTCCAGATTTTCGCCGTGTAGAAATGGTGAACAGCGAATCCATGGAAGCAGCGAACGATGCCAACGGAACGGAACGCGTCACTCAGCTGAACACGGCACCGGCGGATCTTCATTCATCAAGTCCTGTTACGGCTCCCGAGTGTTTAAGTTTCGGCGGTCAAAGTGTTTCAACCAGCGAGTTTGATACCTCCCCAACTCCAGAGTCAGCCGGCGAAACGTCCATTGATATCACAACGCTATGCTGCACGGTGCCGTTGGTAAAGCTGCAAGATATTTCGTTGGACCCAAAAAAGAAGGCACCGACGAAAAAGTTTTTGTGCTTATATTGTGACAGAACGTTTGTGACCACCAGTTTGAGGCAAAAACACGTCGACAGGTGTCACTCTGGGAAGCAAATAAGAAGGTCCAGCTCGAGATTCCAATCGAGGACAACTACCGTTTGCATTTACTGCAAGAAATTAAACAACACCGATCATACGCTGAACGAATTGTTTCGCCATCTGATCGAGAAGCACCCAAACAAATACTTCGCTTGTTTGGAATGCGAGGAGAGATTTTCGTTTAAGAACTTACTCGACGAGCATAACTTGGAAACACACAACTTTACAGAAGATTTATTAGAAAACGATTTCGAAGATGATAAACTCAGAACAAAACATAAAGCGAGGAAAAAAGATGCCGACAAAGAAATCGAGGAAAACCCTTCGTTACGACTCAGAAAAGAACTACGAAAAAGAAAAGTTAGCGTGAAAAGTACTAAAAGCGGCATTAAAAAGCAACATCCGCCTACAAAAACGAGAAAACGAAAAAAGGGGATGGAAGGCGAGGAAAAAGAAAAAAACTGCATCAACCCATACCCAACGTTCGACGCGTATTTCCGCGTAAAGAAAATTACCGATCATTCGATAGACAATTTAAAAATAAGCCATTTAACTTTCGACGATGTTTTTGACAAAGCATTTTATAACCGAATAAAATGCAACATCCAAGAAAACCTTCAAAATCATATCGACGGCAAATTATTTAATAACGAAGAGTCGGAAAATAGGATCTCAAATTTCGAAAAAATGCAAGAAGTTAGTAACACTTTGAGCGAAAATTTCGGTTGCGAAATCACTTTAAACGCAGCAACCCCAGTAGTCTCCTTATTATCTTCCCAACTAGGCGAAGATTTAGAATCGCAAATAGAATACGGAGCAAAAGCTTCAAAAAAGAAAGTGCCAGTAAATAAAGACGAAGTCCATTACAAATACTTCACCCGTCGAAAATACCAGGCGAGCATTTTACAAAACAAAGAAAACCGAGATTTATCTAAATTAGATATGTGGACGCAACTTATCGTGAAAGATCGCCAACAAAAAATCATTAACGATCAGAAAACCGATAAAGAAAAAATCGAATACACAAAAGGAATAGAGTACAAAACAAAAATGCAAAACGATGAATTAAATCGTATATTAGACAGGAGAGGACCTTTCGAAGACTTAAAAGAAGAAGCGAACAAAATGGCAGCCATTGAAAAAATGAATAGACTGGGTGAATCCGCATCACACGTTACCTCAATTCTCGACGAAATTTTTAATAAAGTTTTCGAAAAAGAAATCAAAACGGAAATAGAAAACACCGAAAAAACACAAGAAATATCAATCAAACCTGAACCTATAACCGAAATCCCTCTTTACCTCAATCTTCAACGAACCTCACTACACGAAGAAGATATTGATAGATCCGATAAAATCACACTTATCTGTTCTTCCCAAGAAACCGAAGATTTCCAATTATCCCAAACACCAAGAGATAAAGATAAATTAGTCGAATTAACGGGGGAATGGACGAGAACGCGACTTTATATTTGTGCTGCTTGTGGTGTTAAAGTAACCAACATGAAACTTCTTCTTGATCATAAAAGCGCGTATCATCCAAACGTATGGACACAACATTACGAATTTGTTGGTACTCAAAGTGATTTGTACCGACATTTAAGTATACCCGGTTTGGGAAAAGTCGGACACATGGAAGAATACCCGTGTGTTAAAATTTTGAAGAGAAGTGATGCTCGAACTTGTACCAAGTGCTCAAAAGCGTGTAATAGTCTTGCCGAACTTCATAGGCATATGTTGGAATGCGGCGAAGATTGGAGTTGGATGTTGGCGAGGAAAAAATTGAAATATCGACCTTTTGGGTCTAAGTCAAGAAGAAAACGACGAGGTAAGGTTTATATTTTCTTTTTAAATGACTAACGCTGATTTTTTTTTAATGAGTTGGGAAATAATCATAAATTTGTATTTTTAATATTTTATTTATTATCAATAAACAAGTCGTTTCTTTTTTATACAAAATAATCTTATTGTATATAAACGGTTATTGCACTTCACTTTATTACAAAAATACGTTATAATTAGACTATATTTTTAAAAAGGTGATAATGAATAATCCTTTCATAAAAGTTATTTGACTTTCAGAAGGTTATTTTATATAAAAGATAAACTATCTTTAAAAATTTCGTAGTAAATACTACCATATCTAAATATAGTATTTAATATATTTACTCGACACCTTGAATGAAACGCACGAGAAGTACAATTTAAAATGAAATTATAACAGTTAGATTTAACAACGTCGGTCGTAATAAGCACTAAATAAGAAAAGTAAAACAATTATAAATTATATGTTTTGATTTATAAGCTTGCAATTATTAAATACCTCTTATTGCTTATAATCTCATTGTGGTTTAAATCCTAAAGCAAATTCACAACTCCGGGAATTATGATCGCATTATATAATCCCGGATTGTTGCGATAAATGACTTCCGGATCGGTTTGCAAATAAGCCATTATCTAATATTGAAAACGTAAAACATTTATTGTAACAAATAACGTAAAAATACAGTTCCACCAAGAGTGACATCCCTTAAACGAGTCGGAAACTTTGGAAGTATCGATTCAGCAAGGGGAGAAGCATCTCTCGGCCTCAACACTTGTTGGCAGAATCGTATTTAAAAAATCATTAACACATTGTAGATTAAACCCTCGAATTGCTACGTTTTCAAACAAATAAATTTTTGTGATATATGTAGGTTCTAAGTTCGTCCTTTTCGCGTTGTAGAAAAAAAAACAGATTTGTTTAAAACCGCCAAGTTTCTCTTTGACAATTTTATCTGCAAGTCAGCAATCGCGATAGCATAATAGTCTAGTTCTTTTTTCCAAGCCTTGCTATTATATTTTACAACCGTGTCATTACCATTCTCTTATTCATAACCGATCTCTTAGATATATTACACGAAGGGTCTTTGTTGCCGTTATTTTCAATGTCAACGAAACTTCCAGAAGTTTTCTTACAGAAAACTTTTTTAATTTGTTGTAGCATGTATTTCAAAGTAATATTAGCTTTATTAACATTTATGTCTGGACGACAAAGACTTTCAAAGTTACTTTGATCGGCTATCTCAGAATCGAATCGAAACTCGTGCTTATAAATAACGAGAATGCGTAAATTACGGATAGCCTTTATAATTAAAGTTGCCAAAATGTTTCTAAGAAGCTTACTTCTTTTTGTTCCACAGTCAAATTGAGTTTATGTTTTTTTTGCAATTTCGTGGTTCGTGATACGTTTGAACAAATCCTACATATTGGGTTTAATAATCTATACGTTTACCATAAAATAGAATTTCAGACATTTTTCGGAGTTCCAAAAACGAGCAACCTGGTACGAAAATGAACATTGGAATTTTGAGGACCTATGAGACGAAATGTTTAAACAAAATCTATGCCAGAGATTCAGGTTATAAACATCCGTTCTGAACGTAATTTTATGAAGCAATAAGATCGTAGATGAAAGATAAGTAATGAACAAGTAACTGTCTGTCGAATATTCAGCCAATCATTTGATAACGAAGACACGAATTCGGCACAAGCTGAACCCTCCTAAAACTCTCCTGAGATAAACATGAACCGAATACGACATCACAATAATTAAAGTGAGACAACACAAGAGAATCACAAAGACCCTGCCATAAAAACATCTTACTGCAGTAGAGACTTCTAAGGGAATCATAAGCACGCTTACATAATAAATTAATATGCTCACCAAACTCAAGCTGAGCATCAATGACTTGATCATCAAGACGCAAACTCTTAACCGATTTCGTTAGTGTTAACTGCACTTCAAGCATCTTAATATTCATGTCATCTTTATTAACAAAGAAACTACCATTTTTAGTAAATAAAATATATAAAGTCTTGTCTGGATTGACCAAAAGAGCATGTCTCTTTATCTCCACACTTAAGTGATTTAAACACTCACCAGGCAGGAATCATCAGTATTATCAGGATGATAAGACCAACAGTTTAACTTTGAGAATAAATTGCTGATATAGTTTGTAAATAAGATAGGACCAAGGATAGATCCCTGTGGAACACCAGCAACCTAATTCAATAGAATTAGAATACATACAGTGACTTCACTTTAACCGCCTGCGTTCTATGAAATATATACCCCTCAACTAACACAAGCACAGTAGATCTATCAGCATCAAGACTCAAGAAAATGACTTCTAAAATTAAAATCATATACTTTTGACATAAATTTAATACATCTTATAGTATCTTGAAAACGTCATTATTGGTTGAGTTCTAAAATTCTCTAAGAAAGTTTCTAAAAAGAAAGTTCTAAAAAAGGTTTCTAGCATTCGAACATAATTCTCAAAGAAGTATGGGCCAATTATGCTATTCGAAGAAATCGCACACCAAATTGTGTAACTTTGGCCGAATGGAGAGGTTGTTCATGAAGTTGATGATATGACATCAATTAAGTCAAGAAGCGCCATGACTCAGCTATGCTAACTCCTAAAACCAGATTGTTATAGAAATGACTCCTAAAATTAAAATCATGTACTTTTGACATAAATTTAATGCACCTTATGGTATGTTGAAAACGTCATTATTGTTTGATATCATCTTAACATCGTAATTAGAAGAATTAGAGTCATATTTAGTTTTTTATACCTTTGAGAATTTGAGGTGGATGGAAAAGTGCCGCACATTGGCAACTAGCTTGCTACTTTTACCAATAACTCTTGGAGCAGTCAGCATTACGTTGCATCATTATGGTGAAATAGCAAAATACACTGCAGGCAGTGTATTAATTATACATGGTTTCCCAAAACTCCCGGGATGGAGCTATAAGTTTTGTACGTGTGAACAAAAAATTTTGAAAATTTCTTAGATAAGCTTAATTTCATTCTTAGATAGCTTAGAACTTTCATGCAATGTGAAGTTTTTTTTTAGAGGATGACCACCTTTTCATTTTTAAATAGCAACCTCTGTCAAGTTTTACCTTATTTTAAAGGTAATGAAAAAAGGAACACAACTCCATAAACCAAAACCCGATATCTTAATTCTTTCAAGTATTATGAGGGGTTTACTACCAAATGTTTATTACGATTTTTATGACAAATGTTCAAATTGTCGACCTTCTTCGGTCTCGCAATGACCCAAACACTCATAAATGGAATTTTGAACCACCAGGAGTATATCCCTAGTGATATTGGTGGTTTCTTCAAGTAATCGATTTTCCAAATCATTTATTGATTCTGGTTTTGTTGCTTACACTCTACTTTTCAGAAACCCCAAAAGAAAAATGTGTTAGATCAAGAGGTCGTGGTGGTCACTCAATTTCACCTCTTCTACCAATCCAATGGTTTGGAAACGTGCGGCTTAAAAAGTCTCGGACTGCGAGACTAAAATGTGGAGGAGCACCATCTTGTTGGAACCACTTGATTTTCTAACAGTTGCAGATATCTGTCTCCGTCCAAATTTCCATTAATAAAGAATGGACCACTTACATTCTCTCCCATAATACCAGCCCATACATTAATTTTCTGTGGTCTCTGAGTATAATCTCTTAATAAACGTGGATTTTCGTCACTCCAATAACGACAATTGTGCCTATTAACCTTACCATTAAAGAAGAAAGTAGCCTCATCAAAGAAAATAACATTCAAAACAAAATTTCTGTCAACATCACTTTTTTCATGTACTATTTCACAGAATTCCAACCTTCTTGCGAAGTCACCTTTGCACAATTCCTGGACTAGATGAAACTTATAGGAGAAATAGTTATTTCTTTCCAAATTCTGTGAACAGAACTCTAAAAATGGCGCAAAAACCTGAACGAAAAAGAAAGAATCACTCTTTTAATGATTCGTGGCTTTGGGGACAGAACAAGATCTTACGATGAAGTGCGTGATTTCTAAATCAACAGTCGAAGGAAAACCTCATCATTCTTGAAAGAATTAAGATTTGGTTTATAAAATAAGGTAAAACTCGAAAGGGGTTAGGTACTATTTAAAAATGTATCACCTAGAAAAACTCCACATTGCATGAAAGTTCTAAACTACCTAAGAATGTAGTTTTTATGACTCTTTAGTGATCAATTTTCAATCGTTTAAAACTTATAGCTCCGTCCCGGAAGTTTTGGGAAGCCCTGTATATAAAATATTGTTCGAACGTACGGAACCTTATCATCACAATGAAATCAACTTATCCATACGTACACATCACATTAACGTACCGTTGATGATTTGACAACACCTGCTATATACATGAACTGACTTTAGAAGGATGAGAAACAACAGTTTTTTTTATCTAAACCAAGTAACAACTTTTATTTAAACTTCGTATTCTAAAAAATTTACTTTATATTTCTTAAAGGTTAATAAGTTATGTATTAGCAAAGATATTTATTTTCTTTTTATATGACAGTAATCACATAGTGTGGCATTAAAACCATTGGGATCATAATTTAGAGCCTTTAACGTTTGTAACTACGTAGTTCTTGCCAGGTCTAATACTGGAATAGCTAGGGGTATCGATTTTTCAATTTTCTGAAACCACGCTCCATTTGTGTGCCTTTTTCTTAAATATTTTTCAGTAATGTGAATTTTATGTAATATTGCAAAATTAAGTAGTGTTAAATACAACATTATTGTGATTTTGAATGGTACACTAATTTGAATAAATTTCAATAGCTGATACAGTACATATTGCAAAATACATTTTATTCGTATTCTTTCCCATATAATGTGATCGCTATTTTTCTCTTCTCAAAACACGTAATTTAATGATCGTTTGATTTTCATTGCCACACGTACTATTTTTAATCCTGGTTAAGCGTTTCCTAAATGTTTGCTGTAAAACGTCCTAATCCAGTGGTGTTGGGAAATGTTCTTCTGCAAATTTGAACTGTTTCTTTTACTTTTATTAGGTAGCATATAAATCGGAGTATTATCTCGTTTACTTCTTAATTGTAGACATCAAATTTTTTCTTATTAGGTTCTTTTTCCCTCACAAATTTATAAAAATTTCTTTTCTGGTGTTTTCACTAATGGAACCATTAAATCTTTTTTTTATATTTTGAACACATTTTAGATACACAACGTACTTCCATTTTCCTTGTATGTCACGGGGTGTTGTATTTAATTATCTTCTTCCTTATATTATTATTATTATTATTGCTGCCGGGCTGAGGGGAGCGGCCCTCTCGTTACCGCGACCTATAAGATCTATTGTAACTTTAGCCCTCCAAAGGTTTAAAGCAAATGTAAGTCCTTGATGAACCTTAGTATTGCCCTGAGGTCTTGAACCTTTATGTCGGTAGGTGTCAAACAGTTTTACAGAAAATGTTGCGTCTTAGACGGCCTCTGGCGGCAACGCAATTGCACAGTATATATTCAGCTGTCTCTGACTCGTCTTCTGCTTGGAAAATTGTTACGTCCGAGCTGAGGGGCATTTTAATGTGGCTATTTGGTCCACTGATGCCAATACCTACTCCGTATCTAACAGTCTTTGAAGCATCGGTGTACCATGCTATTGCTCCTCTTTTTAGTTGAGGCCCTCCCTTTGCCCAATCATCCCTGTTTCTAAATATGACCTTATACGGCTGGTTGAAAATATATTCTGTCGGTATAAGGTCCGTTTTAATTTCAATTAGGTGATTTAGACATGGGTCCTTGAGGATTTCGAGGTGTCCTCTGAGGTTGGCCTACATCAACTTGAGTGAAGAAACTGTTTTCAGTGAGAAGGCACTTGAAGCTACCTCCTTTTGTATATATAAATGGAGCGGTGTGAGATCGAGTAGGGCTTCCAAAGCAGCCGTCGGACAGGATCTCATTACACCCGTTATGTTAAGACATGCTAACCGCTGGATTTGTGCCAGCTGTTGTTGTGCTGTCTTATGTTTTGTTTTTGGCCATCAAATCGATGAGGCGTAGGCAACCATGGGTCTGATTATTGCTACGGAGGCCCAATTCGTGATTTGAGACCCCAGTTCCTTCCTAGGAGTTTGCGGCACATCTGGTTTGCCATGATGGCCTTTTTCCTCACCTTATCTAAGTGTGAGATCCAGTTTAGTTTACTGTCTCTTATTACCCCTAGGTATTTAACTTCTGTTTTGAGGTTAATAGTTTCAAATGGTGTATATTTGATTGTCGACGGATGTATATCTTTTACGTTTAGAGCCTTCTCTATGGATTTATAGGAGTTGTTATCAAATTCACCCTCTATGTCTATGAAAGCATATAGGGCTATCTCTTTGGTTGCAATTTCCTCCTCTAAACTGCTAGTCAAAGCATGGAGAGCAGTAATTATTGATTTTGCTTTCTGGTAAGCATATTGGCTAGAGTGGAGTGGATTAATGACAAACACTCCATTCCTAAGGTATTGATCGATTACCTTTTCCATCCCTTTGAGGAGAAATGTAGTTAGGCTAATTGGTCTCTATGCCTTCGGGTCAGCGTTTGAACGCCTATCACCTTTAGGTATGAAGACCACCTTTACTTTCCTCCATGGTGTGGGTATATAGCTAAGGCTGTAGCTAGCTATATGTAGGAATATTATTACTGGGAGCAGGACTTCTAAGCTTTTTTGCAGAAAAATAGGCAGAATTCCATTTCCTCCAGGCTATTTTAGGGGCTTGAAATTAGAAATAGGTCACCTTTCTCTGTTGGGTGTGAAAATGTTCCCAGCTATGCTGCGAACCGTACCTGATGAACGGGTTATGTCCATTACTTCAGGGTCGGTCCAAGAATTTTCTGATTTTTAATTCTTCATACATTTTTATCCGCCAATTTTATTGGTAATCGTATTTCATTTATATCTCATCACTCATATGAAGTATTTTTGCTTAGAATCATTTCGCTAACCTCATACATAAAATGGTTACAATAGTTTAGCTTCGCTTTCAGTAACTGAATGAGTTTTGAGCAGCCTGAATTCTTAGAGAAGACTTTAGGAAACTTTTGGTGTGCTCTTGGAAACCTCTTCAATAACCTCTTATAATCTATGTGTTAGTGTATATCCATTTATTTATTGTTTGATAATTAAGTTTTTTGTACATTGACGCACATAGCAGCTACGCAGCTACATATTAATTTTTAACCTTTCTAAATATATTAACCAAAATGTTGTTCCGTTGACACAAAAAAGTTGAGAACTTCTGCTCAAGAGTGTCAAGACACTCAAGATAGCATATAATACTGAGAAAGTCGTAATCTTAATAGTAAAGAAGTTATTGAAAGAAGTCAATTCGAATAGAAATTTCGATTAAAGATAATGTTAATATAAAACGATTTGAAGTGTTTCATCACAATAAATTACTGAAGACAATTAAGCAACTATTTTCGCGCTGTTGTAGAAAACTAAAATCGATAATTGATTTATGGATAAGTAAAAATTGATAAAATACTCGATACAGTTTCCTGTAATAAAAAAGTCTCCCCAATGTCCAATAGCAATACGTCGGAAAGACACCCTCCTGTATACCTTGTTAACCATTACGAAATATATAAATTTTATTAATTACAAACCATAGGCGGAAGTGAGCAAAGTTAACACCTGTCTTTGCCAGCTTTTTTTAAATTCGATTTAAGCGAAAAAAGGGGTTCTACGCGCATATAAGAAGTTTCTTAACCTCCACTTCAGTTCATTCTTAACATCTGCTCTGGTAATATCACACAAGTTTTCATATTACAACTTAAAAACCCGATAATTTATAACAATTTAGCAAGTATTTACTTTTTTGTTGTTTTTTCAGGTCTAGTCAAACGAATAATACATAAAGAAACTCCCGATGGTGAACCGAGACCGAAGAGAAAATACAACGTAAAACCCAAACTCGAAGGGCCAAGGCAACGCCCAAGTGATGGTAACTAATAAAAGATAACGTAACTTTATTAAGGTATTAAAACAATTGTGTTGTTTTAGCGGAATCGATACAACGTATGTTGGCTAATTTGCCAGCAAAAAGAGCTACCAGGAAATTAATTTCAATGAAAGATGGTATCTCGAAGCCTAGACGTAACAAAGTGGAACCCGCATCGTTCGGAAATCAACTCAACCATTCCCAAACGATTGCACAAGACACGGTTCAACAAAAACCCGCTTCATCTACAGCATCAACAAAAGTGTTAAAGTGCAACCCGGTGATAATTCGAAAATCGGTAAGAAATATAAACAAAGTGTTAGGTTCGAAAGTGCTCGATAACAATTCGGCTATTCGTATGAAACGAAAATTGAAATCGGCTTTGTTAATAAGAACGAGGAGTCGCGTTGACGATATGAAACCAGACGGTGAACAAGACTTTAAAGGAGGTATTTTAAATAAAGTAAAAATGATCAGTGATAGTGTTAAAAAAAGGATTTTTAAAAAGAACGATAATAAAAATAATGAAAAAGTTGTCGATGAAATGAAAAAGGAGAGTATAGGTACAAAAATAGTCCAAACATTAAGTTTTAAAAGATCGAAAAAGACTGAAGATACCACCGAAAAGAAATCAAACATAAATCTTTTTAGAGGTAAATCAAAAAAAGTTAAAGTTAAAGAAAAAAGGATTCCAAATATAGCACAGGTAGATGGATCCTCACAAATATCGGACGAAATTTTACCATTTTTGGAAAATTTCCATTTAGAAGAGAGAGAAAACGATAGACCAAACGCTTGCATAAGTTTTAGCCAACCCGACGTCACCATTGAAAAAACCATCGAAGCGCAAACCTTTGAGGACATCTCAGCAAATTTAGGCCAAGTTATATCATCCGATTTACCAGAAGAAAATTATCAGGGGAACGAAAAAAATGAAGGTGTCAATAAAAGTCCTATTGAAGAGAATCAACAGGATACTTTTATTAAAAAATTAAATTCGATTCAAACCGAAATCATACTTGAAGATATTAAGGAAAATATAGAAATAACAAAAAATGAGTCAAAAGATGAAAATCAACTAAATGAGGTGCAAGAAAAGGAAGAGATTAAAGAAAAACAACACGAAGATGAAGAGATTGAAAATAAAGATGATGAAGATAAAAATGTTGAATTTAAAGATGTGGAAGAAAAAGTAATTGAAGATAAAGATGTTGAATTTAAAGATGTTGAATCTAAAGATGTTGAATGTAAAGATGTTGAAGATAAAGAGATTGATGATAAATCCTTAAAAGAGATGGAAAATCGAGTGATAGAATCAAAACCTCTTGTTCAACATAAATTGACAGAATCGTTGCTTAAAAAGGCGAAGAAAAAGACTAAAGGACTTAATGATTGTATTGCGATGTTAACAAGTAAGTTGCAACAAAAACCAGAACAGATAAAAGAAATTGTAATAACTCCAGAAAAAATAACTAAATCTGAACTTTGCCCTGAAGAAGTGGATAAATGTTTAGATTTAAGTTTAAATAATAGACACGATAAAAACGTTAAGATGTCCCCACCGATAGAAAAGTGTCACAAAAAACCCGAAATATGTTCTTCCAAGTTGAATATTCCTAATCGTACATTTCTTGTACCACCAATTAAAGAACCAGCGATAAAAAATATTTTGCCATCTCTTTTCAACATTTCGCCAAAACCTTTACTTCCACTGATGCAGAATTTATTACCGAATCTTCTACTATCAAATGCTTATTTTACCGATCATTACCGAAAATTGCAAGACCAGCCGATTATTCCAGTTGTCCAAACTGTAAAACCTGTGATATTGAACGTACCGACTTTAAATTTTAAACACAAAACAGAACCGAAACATTCATCAAAAAAATTGGATCACTTCGCAATTAAAAATCACGTAATTTTAAACACACCTCAAATAGAGATTAATAAAGACTTAAAAGATACTGGTAAAACGATTTCTTGTAATGTAGATGTGCCGTTGGTTACGGTAAATGAAAAAAGCGACGATGAAAATATATTTGGGAAAATCAATGAAGAAACTAATATTTTATCGTTTAAAAATATCATGTTAAATAATTTTGATAAATTAGAAACGCAACTTAAAAACGACGAACTTATAAAAACGTTCAAAGAGGTCGATGTTAATATCGAAGTGAAGAGTTTAGAGAAACCTGTAAATGTTTTAATCAAATCGGATGATCCAAAATTGGAGGTTAAGAAAAAACGTGGTCGAAGGAGATTTAGTAAAAAACGAAAAGAAAATATTAATTTGTTGGATGATAAAGTACAAATTGTCGATGGAGAAGTTGATGAAGATGTAGTGAGTGAGGAGCAAAATGATTCTTTAGAACAAAGTGTAAAAGATAAAAATGAAGAAAATGAATCGAAGTCGAATGAAGATTTAAATCAAGAGATTCCAACCAAACAAATTAAAACACGATCGCGTTCTAAGAAGAAAAAATCTTCACGCGATGTTTCAATCGATTCAAAATTAAGCGATGATTATTTAAATATCGATAATACAATCGATGATATCATAAAAAGTGTCGATAAAAAAATTAATACGAAAAGAAAGAAGGAAAATATTGAAAACAAAAGTTTTATTGATGACGATGACTCAACAAGAAATTCGAGTTCTAGTAAAAAAAAGAGTACGAAGAAAAATAAAGTGAGTGAACCTGTAGATATTGGGCTTGAATTCCAAATGTTTCTCGACGCTCACGAATCGGACGTTTTAGAAAATAAAGCATTTTTGGAAAATTTATCTTCTAAAAAGAATCAAGTTGAACTTAACGCAACCGATTCTGAAGATGATCTTCCTTTAGCTATGCTTATAAAAGAAAAGATATTGAATGAAGTTGATCAAGAGAAAATTGGTAATGATGAAATAGCGAAAGAAATGGATATTAAATTGGTTGATGAGGTTGATTCAACTTCAATTAAAATTAATGAAACGAATGAAATGAATGAAATGAAAGAAATAAAAGAAATAAATCAAAATAGTTGTGAAGAAAATAAAAATTTGGAAATAGAAACGAAGAAAGTTAAAAATGTAACGAGAAAAAAATCGAAAAATCTTATTGAACCAATTTTGAACTTACAAGAAAGTAATTTCGATGTAAATATGGTGGAAGAAGAAAATATAATTAAAACAACTTCGAAAAAAATAACCCCGAAAAGAAAGAAACGAATTAAAACTGAGGATTTGAAGTTATCTGAAGTTGTTAAAGAGCCGATTATTTCTTGTGATCAAAATGAATGTCCTATTCAAAGAACGATTGTTGAAAGTCCAATTATGGAATCTGATGTTTTATCGCATAAATCGATCTCTAATAATGAAGAATTAAATGTGAGTGAGGAATTAAATGTGAGTCAAGAAGTAAGTGTGAGACAAGAAGTAAAAGTGAGTCAAGAATTAAATGTGGTTAAAGAATTAAATGTGGCTAAAGAAGTAAATGTGGCTAAAGAAGTAAATGTGAGTCAAGAATTAAATGCTATTCAAGAATTAAATGTGGCTAAAGAAGTAAATGTGAGTCAAGAATTAAATGTGAATCAAGAATTAAATAAGAATCAAGAATTGAATAAGATTCAAGAATTAAATGTGAATCAAGAATTAAATATGAATCAAGAATTAAATATGAATCAAGAATTAAATGCGACTCAAGAATCAAATATGTTGCAAGAATCAGTTTTATCAAGATGTGAAGAAATCGATGATAAAACTGTTCAAAGTCGACCAAGGCAAGGTAGAAGAAAAAATAAAAGGAAGAAACAAAAAGATGTATTGACATTGGAACAACTTGAAGAATTTTTAGATGAAGCTGATACATTACAGCGAATTTTAAATAAAACTAATCCTAATTACCAAGATTCGATGAAGGATAATGAAGAGGAAAGCGTTGAAAAAATAGTGATTAAACTACCGAAAGTCCCACAACAGAAAAAACGTAAAAATAAAACTAATAAGAGTGAGAAGCCAATAAAAGATCCTTATGAATTTGAAGAAACTCGATTTAATGATGAGTTATCTAGTATGGCATCTATTGCATCATCTACGATATCATCCGCCATATCATCTACGATAACATCTACCGAAACATCTATAATATCATCTGAGATAACATCTACAGTGTCATCTATAATTACACCTATGATATCATCTGAGATAATTCCTACTAATGAAATAAATAAATCAAACGATGGAGAAGAAAATGTGAAATCTGTAATAAATAATGATTTAATTAAGAATGATGATAAAAAAGATCTTTTGGAAAATAAATTGCCTAAGAAAAAACATAAAAAGAAAGATTTAAAAAAACCTAAAGAATCTCTGTTGTTTACAGATACTGAAGATTCTAATGGCACGATGAATAAGAAAGGCAAAAAGATTAAAATAAGTTGTCAAATTTTTCAGAAAAGTAACAAATTTGTATCAATTGATAAAACGCGGGAAAAAGAAGAAGACGAAGAATCAAGCGATTCAAATCAATATGAAAGAACAATTACGAGACCAAATCCTTTTCAAATACCTGTTATTAAGGAAGAAGTACCTGATGCGTCCGATGAGAACCAAGATATTCAAATGGAGGTGTTTCAACCTCAAGAAACTAATCCGACTCAATTTGAAATACCCAACCCTTTTTTAACGGTTTCGGAAGAAATAAAAGAACCCGTTTTGAATAATCCAGAAGAGAATCAAATTTCGAACGTTTTCAGCATCTCAAATATCCTTCAAGATATAAATCATCAAAATATTGTTGAAATCGAGAATTTTGAACGGAACACCAACGATGATCAATTAGAAAAAGAGGTTGAATCAGCGATGGAAATGTCTATTGAAGATTTAGAAAACGAAATTCGGCGTAAAATACAAATGAGTAATCAAATGTTACAAGGCCAACCCAATGAAAGTTTAAGAAACGAAGAAAATCAAAACGATAATTTAAGTGATGATGAAATTGACAAGTTTTATAATAATATGAGAACTACGATTGATGGGATTAATAGAATCGATGATGATGATGTTGATAAGGAAAAAATTGAAGATGTTGAAAAAGTAATAAAAAAAATTGATAAAAAATCGAAAAAAAGTTTTCATAAAAAACGCTCGGAATTAAACGACGAAGAATCCGACTCAAATAAAGAAGATTATGAAAATGAATTTATTGCATACAGTGAGTTTCAAATTAATTCCGACTCCACGAACGGAATTAACATCCTTAAAATATGCCGAAAGAAAATTTGCGATCCCATTCAACTTTTAACGGACGAAATTTATCAAGAAAAGAAGAAATCGAAACGTAGCCATAAAAAATCGCATGGTAATAAAAAGAAACGCAAAGATTATTCAAACGAAAATTTAATCAATGCAGTTAACACCAATAATAACTCAGAAGAAATAATCGATTTCCAAGAAAATGTTCAAAACGATGATTTAATAATAACTGAGGAAAAAATTAATTTAGAAGCGGATTATCAAAAAGCTTTTGATGATCAAAAAAATATGGAGGAAGATATGGAAATAGAAGAATCACCAGCTAATGGTAGCATCATTGAAAATAATATTAATATAACTCAGACTTCAAATTTAATGTTTGAACATTTTTATAATGATAAATCAAGTGAGATTATTGGTAATGATGATGTTATTGGTGATGATAAATTAAGTGATGATGTTATTGGTAATGATAAATCAAATAATGAAATTGTTGTTTTAAATGATGAAAATGATAAATCGATCAATGATAATGTTGATAATAATTCAAAAATTGATGAATTTAAAGAAATTGTGAACAAAGAGTCAACGGAAAATGAAATAAACTTCTTAGATGAGAAATTAGAAACTAAAGAAAACGATGAAATATTCGACAGCTTTGAAATACCCACAAAAACAACTAAATTTCGAGGTAAAAAAGGTAAAGGTAGAAAAGGAAGTGTTCGTAATAAACGCGAAAAATTACCAGGGATTGAAAATTTAGACGAAGTTTATTGTGATATTTGTAACAGAAGTTTTACAAGAATGGAAAATTTGGTTAAACATAAAAAAACGTTAACACATATTGCTAAATTATCGGAAATCGAAGCAAGAGAAGCTGAAATAAAAGCTAAATTATTAGAGAAAGAGGAACAAAAAAAGTCGGAAATTTTAGAAAAAGATGATATTCCATTTTCGTTAAAACCAAGCACGCTTAATTTAGTTGACATAATAAACGATGTTTTAGATAAACCGATTGAGAAAGAGAATAACTTAATCGATAATTATATTTCGAATTCATCCAATTCAAATTTAGAAACGAAGCGTTATAAAAGTTTGGGTGAAAGAAAAAGTTTCGAATCTGATATAAACGCAACATATCCATTTAACACTATTCCAATTGCGAACGAAAAGATTCCTACAGCTACGGTTCTAAAACAACAACTAACAATCTTGGAGAATATAATCGAAAGAGGTTACATCGACGATATCACCGAATCATCTAAATCCGGCTTAAGCGATAACAAATCTGAAAATTTTAACAATTTCGTTAAACCATCAACTCAATACGAAGAAATTTCAAACGATAGTTTATCGGTGAAAAATCAATTTGAAGAACAATCGCATCGGAAAGTTCTAAATCGGGATGAAGCGCTATTTTTGGAATGTTGTAGCTTGTTAAAAAGTAGCTCGGAAGTTTCAGATTTCTCAAAAAAATCGTCAAATCAAATCTTACAAAACACTTTTAATATGAAGCAGTCGGAAGAACCCGAATGGCTTGAAACGAAATCTTTAAACAACCAACCTTTACAGATTGAAACAAATTGTTTTGATAATTCTTGCCCAAATACTCCTTTAGGGGATGGTTTTGGCGATGAATATTCAAATACTAATTCTAATACGATAGCTACTGATTGGAGTACGAAACAACGCGAAAAAGAGGAAAATAATGATAATGAAAGGAAATTTATTATTTCTGAAAATGAAGAGTGCGTCATTTCGGATGGTGAAGACGAGAAATTATGGAAGAAATCAAAAAAAAGTAAAACATCAGAAATAACTCAAACTTCAATTATGGATTATGCAATTCCCTTATCAATGAAAAATGAAGATATAGACAACAAAAAGGTGATGACGAAAGGGGCTATGAAAGTGTTTGAAGGATTAAAAGTTTCAATCCCAACAGACGATTTAGATTTAAAGGAATTATTAAATGGGACTTACTCGAAAAAAGAAGATGATGTTTTTAATGATGAATCTAAAAAAATTGATAAGAAAAACATTATAAAAACATTCGGGAATAGTTTGGGATTAAAAATCACCAAGAAGAAACACTTAAATCTATCTAAAGACGAAATTAATCTTGCTATTAACACTACGAATAAAGAAAAAATTGATGATGGCGAAAAGAAAAATCATGATGTGTACGATTTTGAAGAAACCCAAGATAACACGGATTTATTTGGCCCAAAATTATCAACGATAAAAGAATTTCGATCGAAAGAGAAAGAAAAAAAACTTAACGAAGTTATAACCGATAAAGATGTCCAAGAAAGTGATAGTGAAAGTCAAGGTTGGTTGGATAATTTTGGATTTGACGCCCAATCACTATCGAGTTATTCCTCGGAATCGACTCAATTAAGCATTAAACAAACAGCGGAAAAAAATATAACAAAGAAAAAATGTATGATTATGGGAAGGATTTTTAAAAATGCATTTAAAACCAACAACGTTAAAGACTTACCAACGATCGATAACACTAAATTCGTTGAAGATTACGTTAATCATTTACCAGAACAGAAAACGGAAAAAAGAAAAATGAGTCAAGAAGAAATGGACGATTTGTTTAATAAATTGTTAGATGACAGTATTGAGCTAAAACAATCGGAGAATGATCACAAAGAATTCGAAGAGCGCAAAGAAGAACAAAAAAGGGGCGCTAAACCAAAAAATGATGCCAAAAAAATCAACACAAAAGGAAGTAAAAGAAAACGGCAAAGAAATAACAGCGGATCAACAGACGACGAATTTAGTATAAACAAACCAAGAAGAACTTGCAAGAAAAAATCAAAAAATACCGATAACTCGATAAATTTAGAGCAAGAATTACGCGAATGTATCGGAGTTGCAAGTAGAAAAAGTCAACGTTCTTGCACAAGTGGAAAACAAAATGTTTTAGTTGAATATTGGAGTTCGGATGATTCAAATTTCGAAGCTTTCATTAAAGAAACCATTTCATTCGAATCTTCACCTCAAAAATTACCCCAAAAATTATCACAAAAATCGACTAAATTAAAATCGCCCAGACCTAAATCAATCGAACCACATCCCATTTCAAATCCACCAACACCCAATAATAATTCGTCAGAAACAAAAATATTTAAACATCAAGAACCAATAAAACCACCTTCACCAATAACAACTCCTAAATCGCTGATTAAAACAACCCAACAACAAAAATCGCGTTGTATTGATAATACGAATAAATTAAAACAACCGGGTAGAAGAAAATCAACTAATAAAACGGCTAAATCGAAAAAATCGATTGAAGATGATGATCCGGAAGATAAACAATTAAAAAAAGTGAAAGTAACCGGTGAAACTTTAGCTTCAAATCGTAGAAAAAGACCTGCAGCTGATACTTTATACTATTGGTCAAGTTCGAGTGAAGATGAATCACGTGATTTTATCGAAACGAAACCGATTCGTGATGAAATTGATGATGATGATGATGACGACGATATGCCCGTTCAACACGGTTGGATTGTTGGTGAATCTACTAAAAAATTAGTGACGATGTTGGCACAAGCGAAAGGGAAAAAAACCGATACGGACTGTGTAAAAGAACAGGGACGAAAAAGGACTACAATTTAAAAAATTAAATGCATGTAAATATTTGAGACGAGTTTCGCTTCGTTCGTGTGTTTGTGTGTGAGTGTGAATATGGGAAAAAAGTAATAATAATAAAAGGAGGAAGGCTATATTATTATGATAAATTTAGAAGATTTATGATAGAGCTGAAAAATAAAATCGAAAAAAAAATAGCTGAAACGTTGTTCTAGTGCAAAAAGTGTACAAATTATCGCTGCGTAGAAAAGCGTTTTCGATTTAAGAGAAACCGTTTTGAGAATATATTTGTTTTCCTTTTTTTGTTTATTATTTAGAAGAATGTTACCGATTTTTATTTTTATGTTAATTTCGTTTTTTTTTTATTTAGACGAATTGTTTTTTTTTTCTTTTATTTCATAGTAAGTCGTTTCAAAGTTGATGAACTTTGAGTGCTTAAACTATTTTTATATATGGGGTGTTTTAAAAGTTTATAAAGATAAAAATCTTGATTTTCAAAGAAAATTAAGTTTTAAACACACCCCGTTTATTATGATACTCATTTTTTTTATTTATTAAATCAAAAAATTTAAAAATACACTTGTTTACACACACGGTTTTGGACACGAGGAATTCAAAAGTGTTTTTGATTAATGTGGTCTAAATCATAAATTAAGATTTGTAGTTAAACGTTTTGATTTATCATTGGGGTTCTTTTAGGCTTTAAAATTCTTATTAAAAACTCAAAACTTGCATAAATTTATGTCTTGGTTTAAAATTTCTATCAAGATTTTGATGAAAGTTCCTGTAGCAATGGTTTTATTGATTAATCTTGAGATCTGTTGCAAAATCTGATATATGTATAAAGATGGCATGTTTAAATATGATAAATTCAATATTCTTTTGATATTATTATTATTATTACATCTTTGCTAGTATCAGAGCTTCTTCGTGCAAGAATGTTGTGGATCTTAATTACCCCCGTAATTTAACATCCATTTCCTTTGCGATCACATAATTCTTTCTGATATTTCTCTTCCTACTATTCCAAAACTTCTTAAATTGATGTCTTCTCAATAATTGAATCATACGGTCTTTCCTATAAAGTACATTGATGATCTCAACACACCTTGGTCTATAGGATGCGCCTGGTGCAAAATTGTTTGTTAGAAGGTTATTTATTTCCAGAGAAGTTAGGATATGAATTAATCAAAATCTTCAGCTAACTCTTAACTTTTACATTTCCAATACCTCGGCAATTTTTTAATTTCCTAACAACCGCTAATTTGACTTTATGGGTTCCTGCTGCAGTCCTCGTTGTTTTTCAAATTAATATTTCTCTGTTTCGTCTGCGCAATGTATTTATTCGGGTATCAACCCATATTGTTTTAGAATATTTTGACAAAATTTTTCCATAACTGCATCATTACTACCTAGTGTCTCCCATAAAATGGTTAATTTTTGTTTTCCATGTCACTTTTTATGTTTAGGAATTGATTAACATCTTCTAAGAACCAATTAGTCATTACTTCGTATAATGTAAATTTTTGGTAGAATTTAGTATGCAAGGATACAATTCTGCCACGCGCAAGTTTAGACATAGCAAAGAAAGTTTGGCATACACTCTTAGAACACGTTATGCAGATTTTGCTCTTTGCACCACATGCTAATTGTGTCTTGGATTCACTGCAGAACTTTCTACATCAGCAACATACAGATCTTTAACCAAAAAAATAATAACATAGACATCTGGATGCATTTCTGTGCTAGTGACATAGATAGTTGCAGTGAGGTTCTCAAGCAAGACGAATCAGAAAAGGAGAGACTTTGTCTTGAAAACGCCCAATCTTCTGTACTGAAGTACCGTATATCTACAAAGTGAACTGGAAACAACTCTGAAATCAAAAAATTCACTCTACGAGATGATGTAGCAACTTCAACTGAATCCTTTCACTGTTATATTTCTCTTTAACCGTTCTACTGAACCTCCTCCAAGAATATCTTTTACCTCTGCAAAAGTTCATGTTATAATTAAAGCCCATATTTATATAGTTCTACTTTGCTAAATGTTTCAAAGTTACTTAACTACATTGTTTGGAAGCTGTGTGATTACTTTCACCAAATGCGCCGATTATTATTTATTGAGATCTCCGTGTCCGAAAGTTTTCAGAACATTTATTCTGCCAGATGTGGTACCCACATTCTTCATGCGCTTCCAGTATGGGCCACTGACATATCATTCGCCTCTAGTTTACCAGATGGAGTCCAATTGGGTTTGATTGCATCGTTCAGACCTAACATTGTTCTGCAAAACCTTAGAACACGGTTTTGGACACGAGCAATTCAAAAGTGTTTTTATATTAAATAAAAATTAAAAGGAATGATCATTGGGATTCTTTGAACTTTAAAATTTTTTATCAAGGTTTTAATGGAAGTTCCGGTAGCATTGATTAATTTTTGAGTTTAACCATTAAGATCTGTTGCAAAATCTGATATGTGTATAAAGGTTCTTTTGATATTATTATTATTATTATTACATCTTTGCTAGTATCAGAGATTCTTCTTGCAAAAATGTTGTGGGGAATGATGTTGACCTTAATTACCACCATAATTTGACAACCATTTCCTTTGCGTTCACATAATTCTTTCTGATATTTCTGTTCTTACTATTCCAAAACTTCTTAAATTGATGTCTTCTCAATAACTGAATCATACGGTCTTACCTATAAAGTACATTGATGTTCTTAAAACACCTTGGGCTATTCGTCCAGCTAATATCAGAATAGAATAGCTAATATAGAATTTTTAATATGACATATGAATTTATCAAAATCTTCACCTAACTCTTAACTTTCATATTTCCAATACCTCGGCAATTTTTGAATTTCCTAACAACCGCTATTTTGACTTTATGGGTTTCTACTTCAGTGTTATGCGATCCTCGTTGTTTTTCAAATTATTATTTCTCTGTTTCGTCTGCACAATGTATTTATTCGGGTTTCAACCATAGCAAAATATCTCCATAACTGCATCATTACTACCTAATGTCTCCCTCTTAAAATGGTTAATTTTTGTTTTCCATGTCACTTTTTCAGTTTAGGAATTGATTAACATCTTCTATCTAAGAACCAATTAGGCATTACTTCGTATAATGTAAATTTTTTGTAAAATTTAGTATGCAAGGATACAATTCTGCCACGTGCAAGTTTAGACATACCAAAGAATGTTTGGCATACACCCTGAGAAATAGCATCAATTAGGGAACACAATTTCTGAAAAATATTCTTATCGATATGTTTTATTCAGTCAATTAAATTTAAATACTCTTGGGATTCCACGAACCAAAAGACTCATTTAAAACATTTGTGTGACCATTGTAATGCCATTGTTACCAACCACAGATAAACCGCATTAACCGCACACCATTAATCGTCACTGTGTCATTTTCTTCGTCGGCGGCTACATTGATTTCCTGTTGCTAGTGATGAATAACAAAATTACATACATTTTCAGAAAAGAAATTGTTAAAGAATTGCTGATTTCTTCAACAATACTTTATATCGTTAATGTCTGATGATGAAATTAAATTTGAAACCGGTTCAGTGTACTAAGAAAAGCAAAAACTTGCTGTTTCAAAATATATCAAGATTATTAAGTTATATTTTATATATAGAAGATCTTTCTAATCCTTCACTTTTCCCATTTTATGAAAGGCTTTATTCAAGTGTTTTGATGAATAGTGCGTAAATTTATCGTATCAACTAAATCACTAGCTTTTATTTTTGGACGCAGCTACAATGTAAAATTTTTGGCATCTCGTTGGAACTAAAGAAAAATTAAACAAGATTAATACTTTTTCCCTGGCATAAATAGATTCATACCAGACTACAGCAATAGGTTTCATATTTTCAATTCTTTTTCCATTTTTTAAGTTTTCCTACATACTTCAAACTTGATTTGTATCATCTAAGTCTTGAAAAGTATCAGGTAGTTGCATATACTTGAAAACCTTCCTAATATGTCTTCATTAATGTCCCCTCAGTTAATAAGTTCGTATAGAAATAGCGAATATATACGAAATTAATTAATTCTTTTTATAATAAACACCACTAATTAACCCAACTGATCAAGTTAAAGTATACTATTTAGATTTTTGCAGAGTAGTAATATAAAAAAGTTTTTTGAAGTTGTGGATGTTTTTTTAGAGGGCAAAGTACGTGGAAGCCACAAGATGAAATTGTTGCTACATCCATACTATGTGATTTTACGATAGCTGCAAGCTTCCAATGTGCAATGAGTTCCATGGTTTGTTTTTGAAGAATTAAGAATACATCCCTTTTGCAATAAAAATAAATATTAAAATCTTAAACGTATAAACTACAGTGACATTCTTATTTATTTTCAAACTATCTGCCATCCCAACCTGCTTTTCACCTTTGCAAGTTAGAATTGTGGTAGAAACCTCAGCTTCGAAAAATCCTAGTTTTGATTATATTAAATATTTTGTGTGGACCAAACCGATGTTTCTCTTTATTGATCTTTAGTTGACTGTATTTTCAATCGAGAGATTTTCTGGAAACTTCTCCAAGAGAAGTTTCTTCTACGGCACCAATTTTCTGTCCTTGTCCTTTGGTACTATAATCCGGGGTGTGTTTTTGATGTTTTTGATCTTTTCAGTGCTTTCTGGGTCTTCCTCTGGCTTTCGCTATTCCAGCTACTACGCCAAAGATACTTTTTTCTCCATCCTCATCTCCAACCATCCTACCCATTTCACCTTTACAATTTATTTGCTCTTTCCATCAACGTATCCAATTCTTAGTTGTTCCGGCTTTATTGGTCCATTCCGTTTTCACACACTTCTCCGCTATGCTTTTTCATCTAAGGTATTCAACGTCTATATTTCTCCCTCGTATTGCAGAACTATGAAATACGTTTGAAACGAATGAAAAGAACAATTTTAAACAAATACAATGGTAAAAATCTATTTTTTGAATATTTCAGTGACTTATAAATATTTTATAACAAAATGTTCATAATAACAAAAAGTTTTAAGCAGAGTTTTGTTCCATTCTTCAATGGAAATCAATTTATTGTATTCATTAAAGGTGTATTTAGGCCAAATTTTCTCTTAACTTGCTTTATGTTCCTCACATGTGACATCAATGTGCATTATCTTATTGAAAACAACTATCAGTGTCGTTATCTAGGCAGGTTTTTTTTATAAATCTTCACGACAGTAGTTTTTCCAATGTGTAGGTAGATATAACCAGCAATGGCTACTGCCATGTTTTCTGTCGTTGTCTTTTGGTACTATAATCCGG